TCAACGTCAAGCAAAACCAAAGAGCTGATCAATGATTTTATAAAAGGAGGTGAAGACACACACTCCTGTTTGGGCTGTTTGACCAGACACTGCATTTCAATCAGGAGTTGGTTATCGGTGGGGCAGATGAACAGGAAATCAGCATCACAGAGAACCTAAAATGGTCATCTGTAGGGACGGGGCAAATCATTGGCATAATCAACGTAATGGATTACAAAAATACGTTGATTTGCATTACGTGCGTTGGTTCATCACTGCACACGGTGTAACCAGGGATTCTTTTGGCGAACATGCTGCAGGTAAAAAAAACAACAGCTTGCCACTGACCATCTAAAGTTTGGGAGTAATTTTGACAGAGACCAACAATTTTGTGCTCTGAGAGTTTTTTAAATTGGAAACACCTGAAGCGAAATTATTAAGAGCTTTGTCCAAACGGCAGAGGCAGCCCCCGCACGAGTACAACAAATCAAGATCATCAACACGAGGAACGTGTTTCTGTTAGCAGCCACTTCAGTAGTCACTGCAAAGGTGGGGCAAAGAAAATAACCTGCAAAGGAAACACCAGTTGTGTCCTCCACATTTAAGCAAAAGAGGCCACGTTTCTCTTCTGGATTCGGTGGAGCTGTTGGAATGCACCAGCCCTGTCAAGTCAAGTTGTTTTTATTCAAATAGCCCCATATGACAAATCACAAATTTGCCTCAGGGGGCTTTACAATCTGTACAGATGACGTCTATACTTAGACTCTCGATAGGGAGTTTGGGTCATGCAAACTGAGAGAGGACATGAAAACACATTCTCACATTTCGGCAGATATTCTTCACGTATTGCTTACTTGCACTATACTGACTCAAATATACTTTAATATGCAGTGTTGTTAACAAGACCAGTTATAATGTAACAACATGTCCTAAGAGGGACTCGATGGGAAAGACCACCCGGATGTTGAAACAAAAGGGTTTGTTGAGAGTGTGCACGGTAAATCTCACGGCACTGCATCTGCCTATATTAGGACATATGAGCAATGCTTTGATGTGTGATGCTCCATAACAGATAGGGGACATCATCTGGATAGCAGGTATGTACTCTAAGTTTAGTATTTATACACAAGTCCTCCAAATGAAATGACAAAATATGTTGTTTGCCCCTGCCCTCTACACCAACCCGGTCTCACTCCCAAGTTGTCACATAATGGCCTGTGGCGTCAGGAAGCCCTTTAGCATCATAGTTCTCAGCGTCAGTTACAACATTACTTAACTCATGTAACTTAAGTCATGTAAGTAACAAAGTTATTTTAACCCAAACTATGTTGTTTTCCTAAACCTAACCAAGTAGTTTGTTGGCTAAACCTAACATAATTGCAATGTTTCACAACGTTAACCACTAGTTTTATTTTGGAAAGTCTAACCAATATTTATTATTGCTAACTTGATCACGGAGCCCAATGCATCAAAAAACAACACAAAAGGTGTCCATATGTAACAATTTGGGAGTGAGATTGTGTTGTACACACACACGTATTACACATCATCTGTCAGTACCTCAGTTAGGTTAAGGGAAGATTGTGGTTTGAGTTCAAATTAGCACTTTTTTAAGGTCAAGGAAACACTGCTGTTGGGTTAAAATTACTTTATTAAGGTTAGTGGTTACAATAATAGACATAGGGTTAAAGCTGTGAAACATCTTTTTGCGAGAGATGGCACTGAACGCCCAAACATCCTCACCAGCTTCGTTGATTTTGGACGTGTGTTCTTAGGTAAAAAATGTGTAAAAAGCTCTGCTGAATGAGCAGCCAGCTCAGGTGAACTGCCTGGGTGCCCTTCACGGAAAAAATAAAGAGGTTTTGTTAGTGTGTGTGTAAGTGAGACTATCCAGAGCTCCGTGCTGCGTTGGGTTAAATATTTACATGAAAAACGGTGGAACAGCATGCAAATACACATAAAGAGTGTTCTACAGCAATGTGGTTTTGCTCTAATGGGGTGAGACCAGGCCTTGTAGCCATCTGCAGCAATGCAACAAGAGCTAGTTCTTGTCTCTGTACACTTCTACAAGGCTCAGACGTGATAACATGATTCTTATCATATATGTCTATATGATTTACGTCAAACTGTCTGTAGAAAAGCCATCAGCCCCATTCTGCAATCAACTTATTCTAATTTCAACTGGTGATCCACTGCCTCAACCTGCTTTTTCCACACCTACTTGGGGGGGGCTGGCACCACTGGCTTCTCCTGACCACGTGTCGATATTGAGCTAGATGCTGAACCCCAAGTTGCTCCTGATAGGCCATCGGTGTGTGCGAGTGAGTGGGTGACTGAGAAGAAAACGTGGCCAGTAAGGTAGTAAAACACTACATAAATACAGTCCATTTACTTCTACAGTGATTTTGATTCCCAAAATCTCTTTCAACAACGTTCCGGTGTTCCGTAGCTTGGCTGACTAGACACGTGGATAAACAGAGCTGCATAAATTGCAGTGAGTCGTCAGCCTTGGTACCTGTTGGTATAAGCCCCGGAGAGCCTTCACCCTCTGCTAGCCCTCCTGTTACAGTGTTCAAACCACAGCACTGTTAACAGTCAACTTTTAAAACACTTCTTCAGTGTCAGTCTCCTTCAGTTTCATCTGGTTTTAATATTGGTTTGTTGGTCACCAGGCCCACACAGGCGCTCTCTCTCTCTCTCTCTCTCTCTCTCTCTTTCTCTCTCCTGTTGGTCTGCATGGTGACACGTTTTCACTCCAAACAGCACCTTTAATGACAGCCTAATGACGGAAATTATACACACAAACACATGCACATTTCCACATACAAAGGCATCTAAGTGGCTGTGCTCAGCGTAATCCCCAGCACCTCTATTTGCAGACATTTTCAACAACAGAGGCATTAACAAGACATATGAGGACAGTCTCATCTGACAGACGCAACAAAATTATAATACAGCAGAAACCTGTTACAGTGATCACGTCTGTCCTGGTCATATTGATTACTCTAAGCGGATGCTTATTACATTATTTTTTACATTTGTATATTTATTCTATGTACATAAAGTAATGAAACATGCAGCTAAACTAGTTACTGATTTTATTGACTGTTTCGAAAATGATTGTACAAACTAAACTACTGTACTGTGTATAATCAAACACACTTCTATATAGTCATATAAAGTATGGCTTATGGTAGTTCAAATTATAATTAGCCTAAAAAAAAGTATTGTGCTGCAGCACAAATAGGCTACTAAGCCACAGCTTGGTCAGAAAATAAACTGCAGGCTTTAAATGCCAAAGCGGTAAATAAAATATTTTTTCAATATGTTGTCTTGTACAGAAAGACCCCAAATAAACACTGTAAGCTGACTACTTGATTACTATACTATAAGTGAATTATTTAAATAACATATGTGTGGGAACGTTTCTGTCCCAAGGTTTTCGATCCATATAAATGGTTGATCACTTATTTCTGATGGCTTGCACAGTGAGTGCATTGAACCCAGCAGTGAGCGCAGCTCAGATCGCATTAACCTTGATCACTGTACACAGTTCCCACTGCATTAACATGCATGAAACAATGACGTAGACACTAGAAGCACAACAAGAGAAAAAATACTTAAATAATAATATCCCTTCACTCAACATTGGCTCAATGTTTCAGTTATCATTCCCAGAGTTGATGGTAGTTACACCTTTAAAGTGATGACATAAGAGCACAAGCCAGTAAAGTAAAAAGTTTCATAAACTAAGTGAGCAGCAGCTCCTCATAATTTTTCTCCTCCTGGGACCTGCCCTTCACAAAATAAGCAAAATTACAAGTGTAGAACTCTACAAGCGACCCCTTTCAGATCACACATAGTTGTTCAAATTAAATATACAAATTAAAGCGTATGCTGTGATTAGTCAGTGTTGTAGCAGGAGATGGATAAGAAAATGGATATTAGTTTCATCTCAGTGCATCCAGTACATAGACAAGTCCAGGACGTTTTCAACCTAGCTTAGCACAAAGACTGGTAGCAGGAGGGAAAACGGCTCTCAGGGAAAAAACACTTTCCAACAAGTTCAAAGTTTGAACTTGCAATACTTATTTTGGGGGGGCAGCACTTACAGTTGCTTATTTACACATCCAGCAAATACGTGCATTAACATTTATTGGCGTTGGACTTCTTACAGCCTTGCAACTAAAAGGTAAATCCAATGTACACTCTCTTCTGTTTTTGGACTCCACTATGCCCTGAGAAATATATTTGGCCCTAGTTTCCAACTTTGTCTGTGTGCAGCTTGGTGCTGGACAGCTTGTGTACAGTGGGTTTTACAGCTGCCGGCTGCTGCTGCTGCTGCTGCTGCTTGAAACAAAACTATAAGACTGAACCAAAGCAGTAAAGTTGCGAGCCAGGAAACCAAAACACTGAGTTGAAAGAAGCTTAAAAGCTCCATAGAGCTGAAGTTGGGTGATATTGTCATTGTTCATTAGAAACAAAATGTCCCATTAGAACATCCATAGTTGATCCACTGTTATAATAAAAACATTGATCAAAGCCACTTTAAATATTGTATATGGCTTGGTTTTTGATAAAGAACAAGTGACTTTGAATAAGAAAGTACAAAGAATATCTCATAAGGCCTTTTGTGCCAGAACCCATCCACCATGAATAAAACCAAATGTTGTGATTTTGTAATTGATTGATTGCGATTTATTGGCCAGATTGTTTTTGATCCATAATCGTCTTATTGGTCATGTCCTTTACAGTATGTCTGAGTTGACTGAAAACTAGGAAGAGCACAGCACTGCATCAGCCCACAAACATCCTGACTGACATCACTAAGTATCACTTTTACTCAGTTGTAGACTAAACTGTTGTTTTTCATAATCCAACACAACAACCAGCAAGTTATGTTTTACCATTATGTGAAATTAATCCTTGCTAGGTTCACCATTTTAAGAATGTGAAATAAAGCCCATGCACTATTCTTTATTCTCATATTCTAAAAAACAAAGAATAAATTAGGAGCCAACCTGGAAAAAGAGGAGAAAACTATCCATCCATGCTTCCGCTTCTCTTTCTCATCTGTCTATCTGCCGACTACTTTCACTAAATCCGGCTGTACAGTGACGGGAGAGCAGAGAGAGAAAGAGAGAGGGAGGGGTGAGAGAGACCGCCAGTGTGATGAAAGAAAGTAAGAGAGAGAGAGATAGAGGGGGTGTGGCCTAGAGAGACAGAGAGGGAGCCTGAGTGAGGACAAAAATAACTTCTACTTCCTTGACAAGCCGAGCGCAAAACTGTCAGTGATAAATTTACACACACACACACGCACACACACGCACACACACGCACATCATGTGCAGTGAGAGAAAGAGGAAACAGCTAGGCCTAAGAAAGATAAGGATTCAGATGCCCTTCTTCTATTAGGATTGTTCAAAATTTTAATTTCCAACAGTCCATGCACATTTCTTATGCAAATATTGTCTTTACATTTGTTATTTTCATGAATAACTTGCTTGCTTTTTACTGAATTCCATTTTGTTAATCTTCAAATCGAAAAAATACTCAGTTTAATACTAGTAAATGATTTAAAAAAAAAATACAACAACATAAATTTATCAAAACAAGCAATTTTAGTTTCTATGTTTTGTCAGTTTATCCTGGATCACTGTTTTTATATTGGGGGTTAACAGTAAGCAAAAGGTTTATTGTTGCTAAATGCAAATCCTTATATTAGACTACCAATACAACTACGATCTGGACTTACTCTAGGCTATTTGAAAAGTGCAATGAGATAACTTTCAACTGTTATGAATTGGTGCTAGCTAACTCGCATAATACCAAAATAGGTGTTGCGTTATCTGGTCAATATGCTTTCTGGACACCGGCATCTGTACACTTCTGTTGTCTGGTCAGCTGATGCATCGTTTTATTTTGACACTAATGTGAATGATTGACAGCTAATAAATAGTGAACAGTAGACCAATGATAACATTTTTTTACCACCTTAAATGAATCAGGACTTCTGGATTTGGAGCAGATTGGGATGAAGATTGGGTGCTCAGCAGCTAAAGTGGAGAACTGTCAACAGTATCACAACTTTTGCATGGATATTTCAGGCCTGACCTCCCAGCATTAGTGGGCAATATGTAACTGACATCATTACATTTAACGCCACTTTTGAATGACATTATTACATTTTGGAAATGACAGCATGTTTTTATTTTTAATAACTGTGAAATTAATCAGTTTTCCACGGAGACCTTGCTAATTTTACAAAAACAAGAACATAACAAGCAAATGCATTATTTTACCAGATTATTTTCAAGAAGAAACCAGATAAATCTGTCATATTAATAGTGAAAATGAGCCTCCTCTGATACACAAAGACAGTTTTACCAGAACAGTTTTACCAGACTAATGCGACATGCACAGACTACACAACATTTTCCGCTTTCTAAACAGGCTCCAAACGACGCAAGTGATCCTTTAGTGCTGCACCATAATCCTTTGCTTCCAACCATGAACGTGTGGAGTGTCTAGCCAAACTGGAGGCACGACTGTCATCGCTGTTACTTTTGGCACGACAACTGCGACCCCTGTAGCCGTGGGAATCTTGTCCCCTGACCACATGATGACTAGGTGACCCACTGGCAAGGTTACACACACACACACAAATATAACGCGGATCCAGCGCTGACTCACAGCAGGAAATAGGACTGTGGGAAAAACCCAGATTCTTCCCAAATGTGTGAACTAAACCACAGGAGGCTTTATGATATTGGTGTGTTATCAAATATCTGTAGACGTAGTGATGTGTGATGGTTTACAGTTGAATGTCTGTTTTACTAGAAATTGCACAATGCCCTGTGTGTGTCAGAGAGGGTCTACAGCCGTGTGTAGGAGGGTGTGAAGGCATGTGAGATAATATTAAAGTTAACTTTGAAAATAACAAAGACATTATTTGCAGCTAACAAACACTAGGTGGAAGGATAGACACAGGTCCAGGTGTGTGTTGACATTGCTCAAGCATGCAAGACTCCTCTTGGCAACTTATTTAAAAACATTTTAAAAGCCCATCTGCAGTAATAGTATGTGAAAAGAACTAAAAAGTCTTTTTTTTATTATTTTATTTTCAACATTTTCATCAACATTTTTTAAAAAAAAGGTCCATACTTGGCCAGTGTTGAAGGATAACGTGTGTGTGTGTGTGTGTGTGTGTGTGTGTGTGTGGATAAGGCTTAGATGCCGTTACTGCAGCTGTGAGCTGCCATATATACATCTGTTCACATCCTGTCTAATCGTGGCAGGCTGATTTCGGGCCAATGGCTCTACCTGCTGGTCAATATTGGGTATTACACCAGTGCAGACTATTCATCCACTATGTTGATGTTTTTAAAACCATTTAATCTTTTCGATCTTGTTTTTTTTAACTCTCTTTCTCTCACTTACCTCCTGCCAAAGAGCTTGAGTCCAGTGAAAGACTTGGAGCAGCCGCTCAGCAGATCCTTCTCTTCCTCCACACAGACTGGGGGGGACGGGAGGGTGGAGGAGGAATTAGAGGAGGAGGATGCAGAGCTGAATTTTCTATCGCCTCCTTTTGTGTTTAGCAACCCTTCTCTTTCTCTCACTCCCCTTGTTTCTTCAGGACCAGCACCTCCACAGGCTTCAAGTCCAGCCCCGTGTTCCGGTTCAGTGTCCGCTACAGGGTCAGGATCCATGACAGACAATTTGTTCAGTTCCTGTGGTCTCATCCCCTGTCACATTTTGACAGGATGAGCTACGGCTCCTGTAATTCTGGGTAAATCTTGCAATATTCCCCAAAAGTCTTTATGTGACCTTACGTGTCCTGAATATCTCGTGTGTAGTCCAGGCAATCCCAAAAAAAGGACTCCACCAGGGGGGGAAACCACACCCGGGTCCAATACTAAAATCCCTTAAGATGTTTTATCAACAGGACCGCACGAGAAGTCTCATAACATAAATAAACTTACAGCTCTATGTTCCAACAGGATTACACTCCTATATGTACTATACTCCAAGTACTACCCTTAAAGTATTATAACGAAACTGCTAAACTAAATGTATACTGCTCCAGGTACACCAACAACAGCATTACAAACTTACGTATTAAGGTTAAAGCAATTAACTGTGTAATTGTCTGTCAATTATGTTGAAACAAAGCAGTATTATGAAGGTACTACACTCAAACTGCCTTTCTTAAAATGTATTATATGTATTACCCCCAGAAATATTACTACTCCAATGAATTATTACTGCATCAAAACTGCTCCAGGACTTCAAACATGGCTACCCTGCAGAGGTTACAAAGTCAATAATCCACATGCCAAAGGTCTTTTACAAGAAAACACAAGCTAGGTGTGTGTGTGTGTGTGTGTGTGTGTGTGTGTGTGGGTGTGCGGAGAGAGAGAGCGAGAGAGATTAGTGTTGAGTCCTGAGGAAGAGATAATCCTTCTCAGCGTTCCTCTCCATGTCTCCCACCCAGCAGTAGTGCTGTCAAACGCAGTGATATTAGTGTCAGTGCAGAAGTAGTCCCGTCCTGCGACTGTCAGTCACTGTTCGCTCCCTTCTGTTTGTTCTTTTCACTCCTCTTCTTCTTCTGCTTGTCCCTTCTTCACTAACTTTACACTGTTTCCTCCTCCTCCTCCTCCTCCTCCTCCTCCTCCTGCCTCGCTTCTTCTTCAGTTACTTGCTGAGCTTAATTACGCTCCCTGTGAGGTGCACAGTGACACACACGCGCACACACAGCTGAGTCGCACGCTGCTGCACACACACAAACACACACACACACTGATCCTCTACTACTACCCGCCCGGCTAAAACCAGGAAGTGGATAATGACAACAATCAGGGCCTGCCTATAAGCTGCCCCGCCACATGCCTGACAGAAACTCTCTCACTGACTAACTGCTGCTCACTTGTGACTCACCGCTGTGATCTGCTTTTTGTTGCACTGTTTTACTTCTTAATGTGGCCGATTTCTGACACCAGACAAATGGAAATCACCTTGACTAGAGTCATGTGTACGCCGTCATCCTACAGCACCAGTGGCCATCTTGTTGCTGCAGTTTACCTTCACCCCAGACTTAAATTAAAAAAATGCCCTGCAGAATTTTCTGGGTGTAAATGTAGTCCATGTATATATGTATATAAATAACTGTAGTATATATTGTTTGTATTTCTTTACCATATTAACAGACATTTAATGATCTGTTTGTGTTGCATGAAGAGACACAGTGAGAGACACAAACTTTCTTTTAATTGTACAACCATGTGTTGTATAATGATAAATTAATTAACTTGAACATTAACCAGCCACATCTTTAGTTCCTCTCTTTGGCTTCTCTAAAGTAGTTTTACTGTGTTGCTTTTGACTTGTTGACTTTGCAGTTCCACTCTTACTTACTTGTGCATACCTACCACCTTAGAGTTTGTCAAATACCTGAGATGTGTTTGCACATCACTTAAAACATTTGATTTAAATGTTTGTTCTCACCCTTTAACTACAAAACAAACAGAAAATTAGACTCTGTGTGTGTTTGTCTGTGTGTGTGCGTGTGTGTGTGTGTGTGTGTGCTCCATAAGTTTGTAGTAGACAAAAAGTGTACTTGCCAGCTAGACCTGCTAAATTTAGCCATGTGTGTCAACTGTTTCTCTGTCAATGATTCACAGACAAGGCATCATGGCCAGACAAAAGAGACTTCCGCATATAAGTCACAAATTCATGCTCTTAAATTAGTGTCAAGTTCCTCTAGTCGGTTAGGGAGGAGCGCCCAAATTGGCGCAGTTCCAGTGACACCATTATGCTCCTGTTAAATATGTAATGGCTCGGGGCTGTCGCACTGTGAAATTAACTGAAAAATGTTTAAGGGCTCTCTGGTTGACTTATAAACAGAAAGCAAACGACAAACACTCACACACTCAAGCTGATGTTACACAGGTGACACTGGTTAAAGTCTGTGAAGGTTCAATGCTTAGGGAGGACAATCTTTGTTCAGTGCACATAGTCATCACATTTATTCCATTTGTCTTTGTCCCCACAATGCAGTTTTTTATATACTATTTCTAAAAATTTTATGCTACATTGGATGGTGTTTGCACCAATACTGGTTTGACTTTCAAGTCAGCTAACTGCACATATACCAGTGTGTAGACTGGTGCAGTGAGAGTTCATCTAAATGAGCTGCTGGTGTTGGAGATGTTGGA